TGTCCCGCCTGTCCGGTCTGTTCCGTCTGTCCCGCCTGTCCGGTCTGTTCCGTCTGTCCCGCCTGTCCGGTCTGTTCCGTCTGTCCCGCCTGTCCCGGCTATCCCGTCTGTCCCGTCTGTTCCGTCTGTCCCGACTACTGACTTTTGCCTGATTCGACTAGCTTTTTACGTTTATCTGTTCAGTACCGTACTTATCTTGATACTAAAAYCATTTGATAACTTTTTTCAGGTCGATAAAGAATTCACAGCGTCATGTGAGAGTAGAATAGCACCTCTTGCTATAGCACTTTTTATAAAACTGGCTAATGGTGAGCAAGATACATGTAGTACTATACTCAGTTTGAAATTAAYTGACTTGAAGAAGAGCGCTACCCTCGATTTAATAACTTCGTACCTTGTTTATTTGAAGATGCCGCTTTGATCCCACTTATTGAGGATATTTTCAAAGAGTTAGCAATGAACCCGACATGCAACACGGTGAGTCGCATTCTGCTTTCTTATTGATTATTCTTATTCATTTGTCTCACGATTATGGCAGTTGGGAGTACCGCGAAGTTTAGACTGAGACTGGAAAGTGGTCCATTCATTTTCTATTTCTTTCTCATTGGTTAACAAGTAACGTGGCGCAATGTGATTGGTTCAAAGGAGTGTCGTGATTTAACGTGATCCCACAGATCGAACCCTGAAAGAACCTCTGGGCTGATCTAAGTCAGGGCAAGGCTAACTCACAGATCGAACCCTGAAASAACCTCTGGGCTGATCTAAGTCAGGGCACGGCTAACTCACAGATCGAACCCTGAAACAACCTCTGGGCTGATCWAAGTCAGGGCACGGCTAACTCACAGATTGGAATTTAGCGTGTCTTAATTAATTTTGCTTTCTTTTAAAAAAAGCATTCCAGTCCGATGCTTGTTTCATTCCATATTTTCGTTTAAAAAAAGTTCTAAAATGCTTTTTATCTTCCAGCTTCTACAACAAAGGTTCATCCCAACTCTTATCAGCATTTTTCAATCTCCTCCAGAAAAAATTCCTCTAGGTATCAACGTGGTAAGTGATTTATGAAAAGCAGTGCGCGCGCGCGTTTGTTTGGCGCCAAAATGAACAAACATATCGGTATTTGAAGCCGTCGTAATAGCTGAAAATCTTTCTTTCTTTCCACAGATATGTATGGATGTTCTTACAAACATCGTTAAATATTCAGAGCCACCTTTATCAGATGCCATGCTTAATACTGTATTCCCTCTTCTCGTTRAGCTTATGCTGAGTTCTGATGATAATAGTGTATTACAGGTAAGGTGCAATGGTCCGAAATAGGGATTTAGGTGGTGGCTACCGGTCAAAATGGTAAAAATGCCGTTTGTGTTTATATTGACCGTCTAGCTTCTTCTCTTCATAGAGTGGTGGCGAGTGTTTAAGAGTATTCGTAATTGTCGGAGGAGAACAGCTACTATCATGGTAAGTCAATCTTTCTGTGGGCTCCCTAAAAACGTCGCCATTAGTGCGTAGGTGATCAGGATTTCTTGCACTTTTGACCACTAAGTTGACCTCAAGATTAGGTTTCTAACGATTGTGATAAGCGCTCATACACGGCACGGTTACGGTTATATTACTGCGCATCCAGACAGAATACTGGAATACGGCACGRTTACGCCTACGGAAGTATGATTAATTGTGATACAAATTCTCCTTCTGTTATTACTAGAAGTCGTAGCAGGCAATGCATTGAGAAAGTGTGCACGTGACATCACGTGACTTCACATTACATCATCATTTTAGCTGTGGCTTTTGGTGAGCCTCAGGGTCTATACTAATAGACCTCTTTACCTAGGACATAATGTTTTCCCATTACAGACCATGTGTCATTCTCTTGAGAATAAGATTCTTTGCTTGAGTTGTTTCCATATTCATATGTCTTCTGATATACGACTGTTAAACAAAGAAATGATACTCTAGAGAATGACACGTGGTCTATAATGGGAATACATTATACACCCAAGCTATAAAGGCCCATTTAGCTTCTAATTCTTGATCAAAAACTTACTTTTTAAAAATTTCTTCCAGGCATGATTCACAGACGAACAACGGTGTATCATACGTCATCCGTGCAACCTCGCACCTTCTTGATCCGAGAGGGGCTGAGTTCACTGCTTCCTTTGTAGGGAGACTGGTTACTACCCTGATAAGAAAAGTATGTTGAACTTTAATATTTTATTTTAAAAGTTCTTATTTGGAAAAGTTATTTGTTAAAATATCTTATTTGGTAGCCATATTTAAAGCAACAGCCTGCCCTGATATCCTAATTTGATAAACTCTCGACATCCTTATTTGGTCATCTCTCTACTTATATCCTTATTTGGTAATTTTATAATTTCCTTATTTGGTAGCCCTTTCCTTATTTAGCAGTTTTGTTTAAATAACAATTCATTTACCGAGATTGTTTTGTTGTTTTTCAGTTTGGTAAAAATCTTGGTGAGAATCTAGATTTACTCTTACGAGGCGTTCTGAGTAAACTACAGCAAGCTGAAACCCTAAGCGTTATTCAAGTAAGTGCCTCTTTTTTAATTGTATCTCAGCAGCTCTTTAAGGGAACCTTGTAGAATGCTGTTTGACAACTTGCAATGGGGCGAGGCATTTTCCAGGGGGTGATAGTACTCATAGCTGCTAGCGACACCATACACTGACCACTACCTATCGAAGTGTGGAAGATGTGGTGACCGAGTGGRGGGTGGGTCGGACTCTGGTTCAACAGACCTGGTTTCGATTAAAGCAAGATGCTTTACTTTCACCTTGCCTCACTTCACCCAGGTGTATAAATGACTACCAACGAATTTTTAGGGTAACCCGACGTGTTGGGGTGTAACCTGACGTGTTGGGGGGTAACCCGACGTGTTGAGGTGTAACCTGACGTGTTGGGGGGTAACCTGACGTGTTGGGGGGGGAACCCGACGTGTTGTGGGGGAACCCGACGTGTTGGGGGGGAACCCGACGTGTTGGGGGGGAACCCGACGTGTTGGGGGGGAACCCGACGTGTTGGGGGAGAACCCGACGTGTTGGGGGAGAACCCGACGTGTTGGGGGAGAACCCGACGTGTTGGGGGGGAACCCGACGTGTTGGGGGGGAACCCGACGTGTTGGGGGGGAACCCGACGTGTTGGGGGGGAACCCGACGTGTTGGGGTGTAACCTGACGTGTTGGGGGGTAACCTGAGATAGATTAGCATACCATCCAGGGAGAGTAGCAATACTCATAGTCACTTCATGCTAAGGAAACCGGGTTAAGCGCCGGCCATATGGGCCTCATGGCCAAAGAGTGACTTTACTTTACCTTACCTATTGAAAGCAACCAGTATATATATATATTTAGTCTACTTTCRCCTAATTAGCCAACATTCGAGCTATTTCCAACCACTATTAGTTATCAATTGAGACGGTTTTCTTTGTTATTCATAAGGCTTTATTTTTATTACAACCCTCATAAACAATGGACAAACTTAAAGCCCGGGGAGGGAATTGAAATGCAGCAGGGAAGAGCGGGGCTGATATGAATTAATCTGATTGGCTCATTATGAAGCCAATCAGATTAATTCATATCAGCCCCGCTCTTCCCTGCTGCCTGACGAGTAAACTATCTGGGGAATAATACTATTCTACAGAACTAATCTAATTAATGTATACATTCAAAAAAACTATAGAGATATGTTTTCTAAACATTACATTATCAAATCGTTGCTAGTGCTCATAGTTTATGTGTTAAAGTTTACAACACAGTTTTTAAAATAATAATTCTTACAAACTGGGTTTTGCTCATCCTTTTCACTACATTTCTT